GGGGTCAGTCGAAAATCTGATGGTTAACCCATTCAGTCGACCCCCTTAATCTATATTAGCTTCTAATCATGTTTACAAAGACAGAAATGCCCTTACTTAASTGTGGGGCAGAGTAACTCTAATAACACAGCCACATAAGCAAGTTACTTAATAAACAGAAGAAGACTAAACTACCCCTATTCGACACATCTTAACAGTTTCCATTCCTAAGAATGTCCAAGAAGATATTACCTCTCCAGGATGGTGGCAAGCAATGGAAGAGAAATTGTCTACACTAGCACACAATCACGCGTGGGAGCTTACCACTCTCCCTCCAGATAAGCATGTTGGATGTAAGTGGGTATGCACAGTGAAACATCTTCTAGATGGTAGTGTGGAATGATTGAAAGCCAAGTTAGTGGCCAAAAGCTATTCTCAGTTGTATGGTGTTGACTATACAGAGACATTCTTTCCTGTGGCTAAGATTGGTCCAATTCAGGTGTTGAGTTCTTTACCAACAATGTATGATTGGCCCCTCTTTCAACTTGACATAAAAAATGCCTTCTTACAAGGTGATCTTGTTGAGGAGGTATATATGGAGCAACCACCAAGGTTTGTTGTTCAGGGGGAGGATGGTAAAGTTTGCCGACTTAAGAAGGCGCTTTATGGGCTAAAACAATCCCCACTTGCTCCTTGTGCTGGAGCGCAAGCCGCAAGGAATATTACTAGACTACGAGTCACGTTCCCATACAATAACAACAAGAAACTCTCTTAAATGACCAATAAGTCCCCCCTAAAATTCTAATAAAATAGAAAATACACCCAAATCTCACCTCTCCACCACCCTGTGAAAGGCTGAAAGCACAAAGCTGAATAAGTCAAAAATGAAGGCTGCAGCTGGACAGCATTATAAGCTCAGCAGGATTCTGATTTCTGAAATCACGCCTAGTTGCATTTAGCAATTGAGACATTTCAAAAAAAGAAAAAAAATATATATTTTCCTTTAATCAGTGGCTCGGGCTTCCATGGAAAATATGACCCAACGTTCAACTCCAAGTCGGGCTAGTTGGTAGAGTAGTTTTGATTCTGTTGGAATTTGGATTGAATTCTTCCATCTAGGACATCAAAAAGGCTGCTGACTCTGACACCCCAAATGGGGGTATGCCATGGAGGTAGCATCATGAATTATATAATAAAGTTTAAATGACGAAAATGCCCTTCGTTTGTGATAGTTAAACCAGTAGTTAATTTAGTTGTGGATAGAGAATTGGATATGACATACTGGAAAGTGAACAACCCAAGAAGAGAGAAAAGGCATACCTGCTTCCACCAAAGGCACCAGCATTCATGGTTAACTGGTCAGTGAGGCCAGCTGATTTGGGATCCACACTCGACGCCTTGCCGTACTTCACCTCTAGATCCTCCCCGGATGGCACGAAGGACGCTCCATTTACCATTATGTCGCCTTCCGTCCTCCAATTCCAACTCGTCCACTCGCCCTCATCCGTATCCACCTGCTTTGTCACCTGCTTTGACCCGACCCACACCCACAGTACCACACCACAAAGACACGAAAGTGCACGTTAGCACAAACACAGCTACAGGGGCGGATGGTATCGATAAACACTGACTGTTGTCTATAGTACTGTTACTATTGTACCTCCTTGGTATCCGGGTTCGATGACGTAATGTTGCAGTTGCCCTGACTGTTGATGGTGGGATTGGCACTACCTCCGATTGCGTACATCTGTCACTGCATGAAATCGTGCTAGATCTTTGTCTAACAAGAGATCCACTACAAGGTATTGTACCTTGGTGGCAATTTGGTGACTTGGAATAGCAAGAAACAAACTATGGTAGCAAGAAGCAGCGCTGAGGCTGAATACAAGGCCATGGCTCATACTACATGTGAACTAGTGTGGCTGAAAAATCTTTTGCAAGAGATGGGGTTCTCAGTTGACAAATCCATGAGGTTGTATTGTGATAACCAAGCTGCAGTCCACATTTCTTCTAATCCAGTCTTTCACGAGAGAACAAAACATATTGAAGTTGACTGCCACTTTGTAAGAGAAAAGGTGATTAGTGGAGTGATAAATAGAGCTCATGTCAGTTCAGGAAACCAGTGGGCAGATTTGTTTACAAAAGGGTTGAGTCGAGGAAGATTGGATTACATATGTCACAAGTTGGGACTATATGATATATACTCTCCAGCTTGAGGGGGAGTGTTAGAATCGACAGTACAAGGGTAGTTTGGTCATTTTCCTATTTAATTAAGGTTGAGTTGTCTATTTTGTATAGGTTTAAGTTGTGTGTCCCATACTTAATGAGGGACAGATTTGCCTTTTGTAATCTAATACAGAGGGGGGGTAACTTTTCCTCTTCTCAGACCGAAAACTTTCTTCTTCTCCTCTCTTCTTTCTCTTCTTCCTCTTCTTTCCTTCTTACTTATCTCAGACCTAGGACTGAACTAGTGTTAATCAAAACATTCACATGCCTCACACTCATTGATCCTCAAACCCTTTCTAAACCCGAAGCCCAAGTAAATCCCTAAAGGAGAAAAAGTAGCAAATCTCAAGACAAGTAGTTTATAGTTAGACAAGGAGTAGAGGCTAGGAAAAGCAAACTGAAGGGGGTTTCAACCAGCCAAAGGTCTTCCCAAAACAATACCCAGGTCCCACTTCCCACATCATATCTAATGAAATTGATAAAGATTGGATATACCACCTGTATTGATTTCCAAGGAGAGAGTGAAGTTGATGAAGAGGCTACGTTTGCATCCCTTCCATTATTTAGTGTCCCGTGAATGCTTGCAATTTACCTTATGCCGAAGTTTGTCATTTTCCATGGAAACCTCCATAACCATTTGCCTAATAGTGCTGTATTTCTAGATATTAGGTTCCCTATTCCAAGCCCACCCTACTCCTTAGTTCCCAAAGGAAGTCTCTCATGATCTTTTCTAGTTGACTCCTAACTCTAGCTGGAATCCTAAAGCTGGAAAGGTAGTAAATAGGTAAATTAGTTATTCTTCCACCCATTGAGATAAAATTTCTTTTCCAAAGTGCCAAAAAGATTACGGGTCAAAACAGAACTCATGTAGCCGACCCCATTATAGCTGGGAAGATGATGATAATGATGATGATTTTTTTCTGCATAAAAAAAATAAACAAATGATATATATAATTCTTTTCTCACAATGTTACACAGGAAATGCATAAGAAAAAGGTGATGAGACCATATTCACCAAGTACTGACGGTACATGTGAAGTATTTCCAAAAGATGGTATCAGTAGTTGGAGCCCCCAACAGGTTCCAACATCAGTGCACCTGAATTCCGTTTTTGGTAACAGAACTTGATCCAACAGAAAGCAGGGGCCCTAGTGGAAATGATTTCTGTGGTTTATTATCTAGGGAGTATCATGGATCCCATCTGCCAGCTTATTCATATTGCTTTAAAGGTACAACTTATTCTGTTTTCTCCTGATTACTATTGTTTAACATACGATGTTATATCGACGAAAGAAACATATGGTGGTGCAAATTCTAATAATTGTTTTATTAAAAAATTTCATTGTTCTTTGTTGGAGAAAATTTATTTTTCTTGATCAAGAGTCTTGGTTGATGATTTATCATTTTCTTGACAAAAAGGGGAAAGTGCAACAAATAACCCATCTGCATGGATGCCCCCAATTGAAAATGCAATATGAAAATTAAGATTGGGATTTGGCAAAGGGCTGAACTGTTGAACCACAAGCTTGGGATTGAATCCCAACTTCCTCGATATTAACTATGAACTAGTGACTAACGTGCTTTCTTACCCTAATGAAAAAGAAATTGGCAAAAAGGAGAGAATTCAAAGAAGAAAATAGTTACTTGTAAATTGCATGGTCATTCTAAGTTATTAAACTTGCATTGGGAGGAAAGCTTCTACTAGATGTCATTGACAAACTAGAACAAAAGAATGAGCAAAATAGAGAGTCCAGAGAAAAAAATGCTTGTAAATAGCTGTCATTCTAACTGATAAAACATCCTTAGAAGGAAAGGTTCAGAATGAAATCTATTCTTACCATTTTCTCTTGGTTGGGAAGTAGGTCAATAGTTGTGAGGGCTAGATTTGAGCCCTAGTCTGGAGTATAAATCGCCCAACTTGATAACCCTGCAACTCTTTCAGCCAATTAGTAGGTAAGAAAGGACCTCTACTGTAATTGGATATGAATCTTTTATTCCTAAATGTTGATCACACTCTGATTGCAGCCAAAAAGATTTAAATTCAGGCTCAGGATTGGCTTATGTGACTCACTAAAACAATCCAAGCTAGCTTTGCTCATTTACAGCCCTATACCAGACTTGTCCTCACGTGGCCATGAGAGTGAATGGAACAGAAGGAGAAAACCATATAATTGCAGGTCCAGGTACCATGAAGCTTGTAAAAATTGTACCTTATCCATTACCTAAGACTCTTTGTATTCTATTTCTTGAAACTTTATCTTACTCTGTTCAAGTCATTGGGCATGAGATTCAAGAACTCCTGTGGTGTAAACCTTATCTTCTATTTCTTCAAACAAATGAAGGATATTAAATGAAAAAATAATTTTATGGACGACTACCCTAGAAAACAAATCGTTTTAAAATAAGTAGATCTAAAACAGAGCATATCATGTGTAATTTTAATAATGATGAGGTTACTCTTAGTATTGGAGATTGTTATCAATGAAGAAAAAATAGAAAAATAGTGAAGAAAGAAGAGAGAAGGGAGAGAAGAGAGAGAGGAGAAGAGAAGTGTTGGAGTTCGAAAGTCATCTGGTGGCACAAGCTCTGTTAGTATATATAGGGCTACATAATAAAAGAATATAAATGACACTATGTCCCTACATTACATATTACATAAGACATTAATAGTTCTAACACACCCCCTCAAGTTGGGACAGAGATGTCAATCATGCCCAACTTGGCACACAAGTCATTGTGTTGCAAGTAATGAAGGCCCTTGTGAAGATATCTGCAAGTTGTTCTTTTGAGCTAACATAGTGAGCCCTTGATGGCAGCCTTGTTGAGCTAACAAGTAAAACCTGAAACTTCTCACAACATTCAGACACTTAGTTTTAGAGATTTTCTTGGTACATAACCAAGAGGAAGAAGGGAAACAAAGAAATTACTTCTAGATTGGTCGTAGATAACTTTCTTGAACCCAATCTGTAGAAGACAGCATGGAGAGGAAGAAGAAGATGATCGATTTGTTCTCAGGCTCAGTATTTGCACTCTGATGCCATGCTACCAGTGAAGAAAAACAAAAAAAAAAAATGCAAATATGATCCAATCCAATTTACTTAATGAAGTTTTTAAAAATATAACAGTTTATATAAAGAAAAGAAAAAACAAATATACAAGTATTTTCTTTAAAGTAGCATGATATCTTTTTAAAATAGCATTAATGAGCAACCATATTATTCCATGTGTATTAAAGTACAGAAAATATTCATTTGTAAATGCTTAGGCCTTGATCCATAAATCCCATAATCAAACCAACTCTGAATGTTTTTGCCTCTATAATCTCAATTATTCATTTAAGTTTTTTTTTATGACTAATTTCATAAAAGAAGGTAATTTTTCTACTGCACATAACACCATTGTTTATTAAACATTGTTTATTTTAAATTTTATGGTATTAGTTTGTTAAGCTATGCATGTGTGAATCAGTGTTTCCTTGGGACACTCTAATGTTTTATACATTCCATTTTTATGGTGAAATTATACTTCACATAAAGTTATAAACTATTAAAATACGTGTTTCTTATGTATAGAGTTATTAGAGCTGTAGATAATATAAAATTCATATATTTTTAATATATATTTGAATTTCCATGGCATATCCGCGCATATCCCTTTTACAATATTATAAATATTGTAATCGGGTATCAGGAGTGAGTGTCCATGTTACGTATAATTGGGTTTGCGTGCCTACTATCTAAGGTCAAAACCCAAACCCTGTAGGGTTTTGATAAACAAGTCCTATTAGGGTCAGAACAGATTGGATACCCTAAAATTCCCACAAAATTGCCATTCGCAGCTCTCATATCAATACTTTGAACCATGGCCTTATTTCGTGTTATCTCAAAATTTGCATATATCACTCTGAATAAACATCACCATGTTCTAGCAGCAAAGCTGAATGGTCTGTCTATGTCCTCATGCACAGCACATGTACCATTTCCACGAGCTGTGTTGCTTGTTTGACCAACTGATATATCCATGTTTTTATTAGATTATATTATTATTTCATCAGCACGAATTATTTATCAATTCAATTTAACCATGTCTGCAGGTGGAGATAATGATAAAAAATTGTAAAGATCCCACCATATTGATCTTTGCAAGATCCTGCAGAAGCATCTCTTAAGTCTTAAGCTTTTCCGAGGAAAGAGGATGAATAAGGGCACTGGGGGAATGAATCTCTATCAACTCTCTTGTATATTCAAATTTTCATTGTGAATAGCAACAGTAGCTCCATTAAGTTGGAAGATCCGAAGATAAAAGCAATGTGAGCCCCACGGCGGTGAGCGCTGCTGAAGTCCTTAAATCAACAAGGATGGAATGTAAATGAGGATTTTGTGCGAAAAGACAGACCTATGGTCGTTTTAACCCCTCCTTATTGATCGACTCTATAGTCTATACAAGCCAGAGCAGCCTCACGAGTTGGACAATTAATGAAGGCAAAGTCTTTTCTCTTAACCCAATATGCATATTTCGTGCAAGAACAACTTTCTCAAACTCCCCAAATTCTTTAAAATGCTTCCTCACTTTTTTCTCATCCCAAGCAGTTGGTAAAGCTTATGCAAAAACTGATTTAACCTGCATAAAAGCAAGTACAAGAGGGGAATATAGCTCCAAGCCTTGGAAATCTGATTAAACAACCACACCATTGACACCTAAACCAATTTAATGATAGAAAGCAAACACTAATCACATAATAAACTGGATACAAACCTTCAGCATCTCCTCTTCATCTGGCTCATTTAGAGGTTCAGCCCAAGCAACACTTGCATCAAAATATTCAAATTGAGATACATAACAAAATGCAAAAACATCTTTCTTCCATTTCTTGTCAATGTTTCCAAGGAAAATTCAGCCGGAGTGAAGCACCCTATCCATAGTAAAACTAAAACATGTCATGTATGGTTTGTCGACAAGCTGCAGCATATCCACAGGACGAGAAGATGGTATCTAAGATGAAGAAATGGAAGCAAAGAGTTTTTTGAGGATAGATGGGATGTATAGAATATGAAATGCAAGTATCCAGTAACGAAAGAGATTATGAAAAAACAAGGGATGCTTAAATACGAAAAACAAGGAATGAGATTTGCAATGTGGTTCTCCTTTGCTTGGCTCCTCTAAGAGTTGGGAACACTAGTAGGGCAGAATTGTTAACTGCCATCTAGGGTGCACAGTTTGTACTTCAGCTAGGTGTGAAACAGCGGGTGGTGGGTTGGCTACAGAATTTGCTTGGTGTAAATCTGAGCTAGACCTAGTTTAGAAAAAAAAAATATTTGCATGAACCCAAGGTTGGGATAAGTTATAAATGATCATCCCTAAGTAGAATATGAGCCTTATGATTTTATGTTAATTGATTTTATAATATTTATATGGAATGGAAATGGTTTTGTTTTATTATTTTTCATATTTTTTAACTTTTCATTATTAATTGTAATTATCCTATTAATATTAATTATATTTAAATAGAATTAAATTGTATTTTAGTTTTTTAATTTATGAACTATTAATTTTTTTTTTCCTCTTTTTATAATTGATAGATAAAATCTTGCTAAATTTTAATATTTTTATTAACTTTAGTAATTTTTATTAATTATAGTTATTAGGTTTCAAATTATATGCGGAGCTGCTATCACTTACTAATCTTCTCTTTTGCACATTTGTTTCACTTGTTTCACATGTTTGGGATTGGTTTATAATTGGTTTCAGTGTACTTTTATAAACTAATATTATATTAAATTAGTAAGAATTTAATAAATTAATAAACTAATTTGTATTTTCTAATGGTAAATTAATATGGAAAGTTGTCTAAAAGTCACCATGAGTTTTCAGCATTTCTCTTAAACTCACCACAACTTTTCAAAATGTCTAAAACTCATCATGTCACTAACTTGACATGAAACAGACTAACGGGTGTTAATATATTATCATTTTAACCTACATAGAAAAAATAAAATATATATAAAATAAATTAACGATTGTTAATATTAACCATTTTAATATTTAGACATGAAAAAAGGAAAAAGTTCAAAAAAATATTTTCAAATATAAAATACATAAAAACATAGAAATTACAAAAAATATAAAAAATTATAAAAATTGCAAACAAAATAAAAATTATTTTCAAATTATAGAAACTATAGAAAATCAAAATCAAAAATCAAAAAATAAAAATTGTAGAAAAAACACCAAAAATTATAGAAAAACACAAAAAATGCAAATAAATAACAAAAAATACAGAAAAATTTATAGATTGTAGAAAATAGAAAATTGTAAAAAAAAAAAGAAATTATAACAAAACACTAAAAAAGCAAAAAAAAAAAACAAGAAAATTGAAAACTGAAAAAGACCATTTTTCCTCTAACTCACCATTCAAGGGTAATTTGATCATGAAAATTGTTATTTATGCTGACATGGACACCTTCGTTAAAAAGCATTAATGGTGCACTAATGGAAGGTGAGTTTTGGAAAATAAAAACTTATTGACATGGTGAGTTTTAGACATTTTAAAAAGTTTTGGTGAGCCTGAGCCTAACCCAAAACTTACTGACATGGGTCGGGCTTAGTTGAGAAAACCTAAGCCCGACCCAAAAATTGACTAGGCCTGGTATTTAAAGCCCGAGTCCAAGCCCACATGCCTGAAGTTTTGTCCAAGCCCGAAAAATAACGGGTTGGGCCGACAGGCTACCCAGCTCATTAATAGGTCTACTAATACATTTGTGGATACCCTTGCTAAACAAGGGGATGGAAGGGAACATTTATTTTGGGCATTTTGTAATTGACTTATATGTATTTTCTTCGGGAGAATTAAGAGAGTTTACCCCTCCCTTGTCCATTCTACTTTCTCCTTTTTTTAATGAAAGTTACTGCTATTGACCCAAAAAACACTAAACTAATAAAAATCTATATTTATAGATATTTACACGATAGAAAAATCAAAAATAGAAAGAAGACTTGAATATCTTAAAAATCCTTAGTACAAATATTTATATGAAGAAATTACTTTATAAAATTTTATGAATAAATTTGCAAAATGACATGTATAAATCAATTTTCAAAAAAAATGTATTTATGAATAATTAATTATTGTAAATATAAAAAATTTAGTAAGTTATAATTTTTTTAAATAAATTATGAAAAACCAATGTAAAGTACCAATGATTATGGAAGTTATTAATAATCATCAATCTTAACAATTTAAAATAATTTTCTAATTAACTAATCCAAAAATCACTGTAAATTACCAATAATTAATTATGGAAATGCTTGAAATTTTCTAATTTAATAATTTTCAAAGATATCAAATTGTTTGAATAGATATAAAAATTATAAATATAGTTAAAATTACCAATTAAATTCCCCATCTAATATTTAATAATTACCAAGAACCAATGTAAATAAAAATACTAATAAATCGTTTTTATTACCAAAATTAATTTTTTAGATTATTAGTTTTCTAAGATTACCTGAAAATTGTTGAAAATTTAATTTTTTTAAATTTTAAAAATAAATAATTTTCTAAAAAATACTCAAATTTCCACGAAATAGTTATCAATTTTAGATAATACCAATATATAATTAACTTCATATAATAATATATTAGTATTTAAATATTAAAAATGGTTGTTCAATAATTATTGATATGAATTATTTTAAAAATTTACAGATTTATAAAAAGTAATTACTAAAAAATAAAAATAAATTACAATTTTAGTTATATTAATTATCTTATACGTTTTAATGCTTGGAAAGTTTTTGCCTTTGTTATAGTGGTGAAATGGGGGTAGAGAGATGTGGCTAGAGACTAAGAGACTAATGATGTAGCAAAATGAGGAGCTTGGATAGGTGAAGGAAAAAATGTATTGAACCCAACTTTTTGGTTTATTTTTTATTATATTAAAATTAAAACTAAATTGTTTTATATTAATATTTTTACTTTTATTTAATTTTAATATATTTAGTAAATTGTTTTTGATGCATAGTTTCAATTATGATATTTATGATAACTTGCTAAGTTTTTTACTATTTAAAATTTTAATAATGTTAGACTTCACTATTATAAATTGATTATAATATTATTCTAATTTATTTTAATAATTATTATTGTTAAAATTAAAAATTATAATTTATTTTGGATTTTCTACTATGCTAATTATTTTTTGCTCATCTTATTTCAATGCTCAAATTTTAAATTAAACATTAACACTTTAATACATTGAAGAAAAATTAAATGCATGAATATAGAACATAGATAGAGACAATAAGAGATAGAGAAAAAGAGATTGGGGTGGGACATATGAATTAGAATTAGACAGTTTGTTGTGAGATAGATTAAGATAAGTTTTAGGAGGAAATTTTAGGTGTGGGGAAGATAGTTTTGGAGAAAATTTAGGAGAGGGGATTTTAGGGAGGTCTTTCAAGGAAAATGAGAATTCTAATTGGTTGTTTCAAAAAATGACATAGAATAAAAAAACAAAAATTCAAAAAGGAGAAATCTATACTATATATAAAAGTGTGAATATAGTGTGAAACTTTTTTTGGACTAAAATTACCTTTTATTAATTTGTTTGAGAAAGGGTATAAAAGTCATTTTATTATAACTTGCTTGTCAGCTTTAATGGCTACTATAGTGCTCATATTTATGTATTTAATCCATCTTTAATTGTAGGGGGTGAAAATGTAACTTCAATTATTACTTTCCACCTCATTTAATCCCCTCTCATTAAGTCTTATTCTTAAGATATTAAATCCCATTATCTCTTATTAAATTCTATATTTTAAGTTATTTTTTCACTAATAAATATTACTAATTAAATCTATGTTAATATTTTTAACAATATAAACCCATGTATTTTAAAACTCACTCAAAAAGAAAATCATTCTTTATTCAAGCGGTGGCTAAGCAATTTAACCATCCAAATCAAATCGGTCGACCAATGAAGTCATAGTTAGGTAATAATTTTTTTAAAATAGAAATAAATATAGAAAATTACGAAAAAGGTAGAAAAAATTAGACACATTAATGATATCTTTATTAATCAAATTAAAAAAAGTGTAATAAACAAGAATTATTTTTATTGATAATGAAAATGAAATACATAATTTAGAACTCACCAAAAATGAAATATAAAAATTAATAATAAATAGTTCAACTTTTGGGTTAAATGTGTTAACCTTTAATGTCATAAATAAATAACAAAAATTAATAAAATATAAAACATAAATGAAAAAAATATACATAAATTTTGCAAAAAAAAAAACATTCAGATACAAATCATACATGTATTCAAGCACACATATACTAGACTTGTTCATGGGGCAGGCTCGGGCTTGGCTTTTGCCCAAATTTCAATGGGCTCGGCCTGAAGCCTGAGCCTGACATAGTGTAAAATTAAGCCCGAAGCCCAGCCCGTGAATAGGTCTAATGTATACATAAATTTCTCTCCTCCCCTGTCCGCCTA